TAAAGCATAAAATATAAAAAATAAAAATATAAAAATATAAAATATTAAATAAAGATCATAGAAAACACATCAACTATGCAAGAGTGGAGGTCTTGTGCTTGGGTCACATTTACTGTGTGTGTGTGCAGGGTGGTAAATGAATGCTCAGAAAAGACAAAATAAAGACAGAAAATGTAAGATATAAAATAAAAAAATAAAATTTATTAAAAAGTAATAAGACATAAAAATAAAATATAAAATAAATATAAAGCACAATGCATAACATATAAGAACTGTAACATGTAAATTAAATATATAAATATCATAGGAAACACATCAACCACACAAGAGTGTCAAGTGGTTGGATCAAATGTCCTGTGTGTGTGCAGGATGGGAAATGAATGCTCAAAGACAAAATAAAGACAGAAGACGTAAGATATAAAATAAAAAAAAAATTAATAAAAAGTAATAAGACAAAAATAATATAAAATAAATATAAAACATTAGGCATAAAATATAAAACCTGCAAAATATAAATTCAATATATCATAGGAAAAACATCAACTGTACAAGAGTGTCAAGTGGTTGGATCAAATGTCCTGTGTGTGTGCAGGATGGGAAATGAATGCTTGGAAAATACAAAATAGAAAAACAGGAGAAAATATAAGATATAAAATAAATTTAATAAAAAGTAGTAAGAAAAAAATAATATATAAAATAAATACAAGGTATAAAACATAAAATATAAAAAAATGTAAAAGATAAAATAATATAGAGATCATAGAAAACACATCAACTGTGCAAGAGTATCAAGGGTCAAATGTGTGTGTGTGTGTGCAAGTTGGTAAATGAATGCTTAGAAAATACAAAATAGAATATATAAAATAAAAAAAATAAAAAGATATAAATATAAATATAAAGCATAAAATATAAAAAATAAAAATATAAAAATATAAAATATTAAATAAAGATCATAGAAAACACATCAACTGTGCAAGAGTGTCAAGGGTTCTCTATGGAGGCCTCGTGTTTGGGTCACATTTCCTCTGTGTGTGTGTGCAGGGTGGTAAATGAATGCTCAGAAAAGACAAAATAAAGACAGAAAATGTAAGATATAAAATAAAAAAATAAAATTTATTAAAAAGTAATAAGACATAAAAATAAAATATAAAATAAATATAAAGCACAATGCATAACATATAAGGACTGTAACATGTAAATTAAATATATAAATATCATAGGAAACACATCAACCACACAAGAGTGTCAAGTGGTTGGATCAAATATCCTGTGTGTGTGCAGGATGGGAAATGAATGCTCAAAGACAAAATAAAGACAGAAGACGTAAGATATAAAATAAAAAAAAAATTTAATAAAAAGTAATAAGACAAAAATAATATAAAATAAATATAAAACATTAGGCATAAAATATAAAACCTGCAAAATATAAATTAAATGTATCATAGGAAAAACATCAACTGTACAAGAGTGTCAAGTGGTTGGATCAAATGTCCTGTGTGTGCAGGATGGGAAATGAATGCTTGGAAAATACAAAATGGAAAAGAGAAAACATGGGATAAAAAATAAAATGTAAAATTTAATAAAAAGTAATAATATAGAAAATAAAATATAAAATAAAAGTAAAGGATGAAACGTAAAATAAAGACATAAAATGTAAAATATAAAATAAAAATAGAGAGATCACAGAAATCACATCAGCTGTGCAAGAGCGTCAAGGGTTGTGTATGGAGGGCCCATGCCTGGGTCACATTTACTGCAGGATGGGAAATGAATACACAGAAAATACAATATAGAAAAGATATAAAATAAAATATAAAGATATAAAAATATATAAAAGATATAAAATAAAAAAAATATAAAATAATAATAGATATAAAATAAAAATAAAAGATATAAAATAAAAATAAAATCTAATAAAAAGTAGTAAGACTACTACTTTTATTATAAAATATATAAAATAAATACAAAGCATGTAAAATAAAATATAAAAGAATGTAAAATATAAAAATATAAAGATCACAGAAAACACATCAACTGTGCAAGAGTGTCAATGGTTCTGCATGGAGGCCTCGTGCTTGGGTCAAATATAATATGTGTGTGTGTGTGCTGGGTGGGAAATGAATGCTTAGAAAAGAGAAGATATAAAATAGTAAAAAATAAAATTTAATAAAAAGTAATAAAAAAATATTATAAAGCATAAAATATAAAAATATAAAAATTATAGAAATATAAAAAATTAAATAAATATATAAAGATCATAGAAAACACATCAACTGTGCAAGAGTGTCAAGGGTTCTGTGTGGGGCCTCATGGTTGGGTCACATTTCCTCTGTGTGTGTGTGTGCAGGATGGGAAATGAATGCTTAGAAAATACAAAATATGAAATACAAAACAAGATAAAATAAAAAAATTAATAAAAAGTAATGACATAAAAATAAGATAAAAATATTTATAAACCATGTAACACAGTATAAAATAAATATAAAATGTATATAAAATGTAAAATATAAAATATAAATATACAATATGTAATATGAAATTTAAAATAAAATTATAAAATATATAAAATGTAAAATATTAAATAGAAAATAACTATCAAATATAAGATAAAAATAAAAATATAAAATGCGAAAGATGAAATAAGAAATATAAAATAAAAATATAAAATAAGAAAGATGAAATTATAAAATAAAAATATAAAATACAAAATCTATGAAATGTAAAATGTAAAATATGAAATAGATACCAAATATGAAAAAATAAAAATTTAAAATATAAAAATATAAAATAAATACAAATTATGAAATGTAAAATAAAGTATAAAATGCCTGTAATGAAGCTGACTCACACCACAAATTTATAAGAGCTACATTCAGAATATCATATAAAAATTAAAAATTGGTCTTGTCAAAGAAAATGTTGTTTCTTGGGTTTTTTTAATATTAAATGTTAAATTATGCCTTAGGAAGGGGCCATTGGATTGCCTGAGTGTTTATCAGCAGTGCTGGGAAGGCGTTTTAGCTGGTGCTTTGTCCCCTGGGAGGGGATGACAAAATTCCTTCCAGAACATTCCACGGGATTTGGCTGTTGAGGATCACACTCCCCGCTCCTGGGACACACCTTGGGATCTCTGGATTTGATCAGCTTGGTGCTGGAAGTTGCAGATCTGGTGGGGAGATGGAAGGGACAGGCGCGGTCCGTGGGGTTCCCTCCCGCCCTCGTCCCCCGTGGTGCCCCTGCCGCGATTCCTCGGGCCCCGTTGCTTCCACCTGTCCCTCGTGGAGGCACCGCTGAGCGGGAATGAGAGCCGGAAAAACCTCCCTGTGCCGACTGCAGACATCCCACGTTTATTCTGAACTGCCTCGACCCACACCCACTGCCACTCCTGCTGATTAGCAGGGACAATTTTGGGACTGGAGGAACGAGGTGTTATCCAACAACAAACCCGAGTAAACATGTTGACATTTTCCGCCAATTTGCATGAAAATCAAGGCATAAATTTGTAATGCACTGCCTAAGAGGAGAACAAAACAAGTTTGCTTTTATTGTCCTAAATGGGAGCCGGGCTAATTTATTTTAAAAATCAAATTAATTTCGTTAAAAAGTGTGGATTTATCCGTACTGTAAATCGGTGTAAATGATGGGATGTAATTCCTCTCTGGAGTGGGGAGCAAGGCCATGTTGGTGTTCACCCTGAGCCTCATCCTGACCATGCTGGGACGTGCCTGGATTGGGGTTTTTTACCCTTGTTCCTGATGGGCTCCAGGACCATTTAAGGAAAGGCTGCCTGGAGCCTTCCCAGGCCCAGGCAGGAGATGCCAAGGGAAAAGTCTCCAGGTTTCTGTCCCTGGTCCATCTGTCACGGGCTCCCTTCGCACGCAGCCGCCCTGGAACGAGCCCAAGGCCTGCCCAGCACGCTCCGCTGAACCCACAGAGCACGGGCTGGGAGGAAATGCCTAGGTTTGGAGAGCAGGAACGGGGAATAAACGGGAATTAGCCAAGAAATCCGAGCTGCAGGAACGGCTGCTGCGTGACAGGGGTCACAGAGGGGCAGCTGTGTGTGGGTCTGGGGGGAGGATGCTCTGCACCCCCAGCAGTGTCCCCTCTTCTCCTCTGCACAACCCAAGTGCCCTCACACGGCCCCTCCACACATTCCCCATCCCTGTGTCCCGCTTTGGATGCTCTCCATCAGCTCCATGTCCTTCTGGCACTGCGGTGCCCTGGAGAGGTGTCAAACAAACCACAAATCACCTGCAAGTGGGAATTCAGCCCTGGGCAGAACAAAGCTCCCGCACCTCACTTAAGGGTGTTGAAATTCCCCTCCTCGTTTCCCTCAGCACACGGATGAGAAGAAATTCCCCTCTGAGTTCTTATCCCAGGAATGCTCCTCTTCCCTCCCTGTGTCTCCTACAAAAGCATTTCAAATCTACTCCCAATTCCACTTTCATGTCCCCACATAAGTCCAAATAATTCACTTTATTTCAACCCCCACCCTCTGAGTTATATGATTATTATTATTATTTATCATCATCACTGTCATTACCACTACATTTAAATATTATTATATATTATTATATACAAGATATTATATTATATATAATGTATATAAAATGCATACACATTAAAATAGATATACTATATATATACATAGCCATATATAGTATATATAGTGTATATATATGCACACTAATATATACTATATACATATATTGTTACAAATATATAGTAATAAAAATATTATTTAATATTATATATTAGAAATATATCTATATAATAATATATAGAATAGAAATATTATTTAATATTATGTATTAGAAATATATCTATGTAATAATATATAGAATAGAAATATTCTTTAATAATATTATTAATGTATATCTACTCTGTTTTAATAATAATAATAATAATAATAATCACAGTTTGCTCCCCGAGTGCTGCTGCCCAGCTGCTGCAGTGAAGAGGCAGACTTTCAGCACACACCAAACGTGAGATCAGGAAACTGAGCAGCTGAAAGTCCTTTATTAAGGTGCTAAAAAGTGGAGAAACAACAAACACCTTCAAACCCACCGGCTGGTGAAAGTTTAATAGAGCTTTAGATAAAACTGAGCTTGCAGCATTAATACAAGAGTTTGTTCTTCTGGATCAATGTGTCCATTGATACAGTGAGAGGCTGCATGCTGAAAATGCATTTCTTTGTTTCTTTATTTGATCTCAATATGTACAATTTACAGGAGAACCCAAGCGTAAATTCAGCAGGAGACACAGACCGGCTGTGCAATCAAACAGTACCTTTAATTAGCAGAAGCATCAGGGCTGGGCTCAAATGGTAACTGGTTAAAAACAAAGTGCCCACACCAACAAAAAATGAAATATTAACCACAAGTGACTTCCTAAAATAAATAACTAAAGACAGTCGTTGTCCGTGTTTGCACTTTACCTCTTATTAAAGACACCTCATTGTCACCTTAATGCAGCCCCCAGACCTCAGGAACTCTGTACCCAGCAGGGATGGGTGAGTGCTTTGAGTTACAAAAATCAAATCACAGCTCAGTATCTGCATGGCATTAATTTAATAAAAATGAGGCCCCTTCTCCAGCGTCTCCCACACTGGTGGGACATTTTCCAGCTCCCTGACACCTGCTCTCAGTCCAGTTTGGGGAGCACACCCAGGTGGCTCCTCCCTCATTCACTCTGTCCACACATTCAGCACGAGGGTTCCCAAAGGAAAAGGCCACTTGGCTCTCCTGCTGCAGGCTTGGGAACCCCGGGATTTGGGCAGGCAGGATGCAGGAGGCCCTGGGACACAGAGAAAAGCCAAGGGGACCATGAGCCACCCCAGGGTGCTGGCAGGAGAGCTCAGCAAAGGTGGGACACCCCAGGGGACCCCAAATTGCACCTGAGCTCCTGGACCACTCACAGAACTGCAGCAGAGCAGGGGATGGAAGAGAACAAAGCAGAAGGGAATAAAATGGGATGGGATGGGATAGAATACTAGAATAGGAGACTAGAATAAACAGAGAATTAATATAGAATAGAATAAGAACATAATCAAAAAGGAATAGAATGAACATAGAATTAGAATTAATAAAGAATAGAAAATAGATCAAGAATAAGAATAGGGAATAGAATATGAATAGAATTAATAGAATAAGAATATAGAATATATTAGGAGTAGAATAAAAATAGATCAAGGATAAGAATAGAAAATAGAATAAATAAGAACAACAGGTTAAGAATAAGAATAGAATAGATTAAGAATAGGACAGAATTAGACTAGAATAAGAACAGAGTATTTCATTTGGAAGGGACTGCAATGACCACCTAGTCCAGTGTCACACAAGGGCAGTGGTTGGTGGGGTCACACTCTGACAGCCCCCAGAAGGAGCCACTGCTCCCCACTCACCCCAATAAACCAAAGGAGCTTTGAGGAGGGGTGGAGCTGCTGGAGACCCTCCTTTCCCAGCCAGACCCCTGTGCCCAGGCTGCTGGGGGGCTCCTGGGCTGGTTCCCAGGCTGGGCAATGCCCTTGGCTTGCTGGGCTGGGCTGGGCTGGGTGGTGGCCTTGCTGGGGACACCTGGAAAAGGGACATGGCTATTCCTGGTGCCAGCCAAGGACTGAGGGAACAGCTACAAAAGTCAGGGGTATTTTACAAGACAACCTGAAGGAGTGCTGGGAAAAGGGGAGCACAAGCCCAGGTTTTCCCGTGGCTGAGCACATGTGGAGCACAGGTCAGCCCTGCCCCTCACAGCCACGTGCAGAGCACTGAGGGGCAGCCACGGGTGTGAAGAACATGCAGGGCCACTCAAAAAGGGGGAGAAATGATGAAAGGAACTTTGGAAGTTCACACAAAGTCCTTGGGTGTACAGCTGACAGGTCATACACTGCAACTTCCAAGGAGAGTTGAGCCAGCCCCCAGCAGTGTGCTGGGCTTCAGGCTTCTTGCTCCATGCCAACATTTCTAACAACCCCTCCAAGACCCTCAGATTTGTTACCAGTTGGGTAGCACGTGCCAGCATTTGTGCAGGATGGGCCAGGGCCCAGGAGCCAGAAGGGCCCATCCATTAATGAAGCCAAGGGTGCTCCTCTGACCCTCACCTGTCCATGCCTGGGACCACCTGGATGTGGTCCAGAGGGTTTTACACACAGAGGACATCCCACAGAGCCCCTCTCCTGGGTGCTCTTGGCAGCAGCTTTCCTACCCAGACCACTGATGGTGCCACCAACGGCTCCATCCACCCCAGACCTCCTGCTCCAGGAAAGAGCCAAAGGACTGGCCCCCAAACACAGCCCACAGGATCCACGGGCACCTCAACAGCTGACCTTTGGAATTTTGGGGAGGGTGCTCCCCCAGCAGAAGCCACGATGACGGGGCACCCACACAACACTCAGCCCACCCCGGAGCCAAACAGGATAGACAGAGGAAACCCGAGCACAGAGGACACCAATCCCAACATCTGCACAAAGCACGACTCATTTTGAAACCCACAGGGTCAACTTCAGTTCAGAGCACGGTTAAACAGCATTTTCACCACAGCAAAAGCAGCAAGGAGCCTACCCGGGCTGGGGACCACCACGGCCTGCAGGGCTGCTGGCACAGCTGCCAGCACAGCAAGAGGAGGGAAATCCGAGCCTGGAGGGACAGGGGGAAGGGTGGCTCTGCCTTTGGGGTGCAGTTCATCCAGCAGAAGAGCCTGCTCGGCTTCGTGGAGACATTCAGCTTGTTTCATGTCCAGCTATGTCATCAACATGAGAAAGCAAGCACATCCTGCTTATTTCAAACGGCTTTCTTGCACATACATTATAAATCACAAAGGTTTAAAAAGTTTTTACTAATCGTATCTAAAGTGTGAATTTTTATTCATTTATTCATTGTCTTGCCTAGACTTATAAATACAAGTTTCTTCTCTAAACAAAGCCTTAGGAAATACAGATTTGGTTTTTTTCCCAGTAGGAAACAAACCCCCAAGAAAACCTCAAAGCAAACTAGAAACCAGCAGTTGATTTAAGGCCAGCAGAGTCGGTGTCAGGAATTCACTAACACACCTCCCTCGAAGAAAGAATAGACATGCACCAGAACTACTTGGTTGGACAAATCGTCACGACCCACACCAGGAGAGAAAAAAAAACCCGAGTCAAGTCATAACTTACCCTGAAAGCTCCCCGCTCGCGTGTTGTCCCTACTCCTTCAGGGGTACGGGGGGAGGGGGCCCCTCCCCGCTTTTTGGGGCTGTACAGTGTCACTACAGTGGGAGTCATGCCACAGGACGATATGCAGGGATGGCACACTGGTATCGCATGCGTGGTGTGATGGTACATGCCAACGCCCCCGGCGCCGCCCGGGGGGCATCTCCTGCCTCCAGACCTCAGAGTTCCGCACCCCCCTCCGGTGCCGGGGCCCCTCCCGGCCCCGCTGCCCTCCCCGGAGCAGTCGCAGCTCCCCGCGGTCGCCCCCGGCGCCCTGGGCTATGTGAAGCGGTCGGAATTCATTTTGCGCAGTTTGGGGGGCAGGTTCCCTTCCATCCTCCCGCCCCCCGACAGCTTCTGCAGCTTGGGCGGCAGCTCGGCCACCGACTGGCTCATGGGATCCGACATCATCTTGGTGGTCTTAGAGCCCAGCTTCTCCTCGGAGTTGCCGGGCACCGAGCTGATGCGCTGCAGTTTCATGGGCAGGTCCCCCATGCTGTAGGCCTTCTCCGACGTGGTGGAGCTCATCCTGAGGAGTTTTTTGGGGAAGTCCTCCCTGCCGGTGATTTTCTGCAGTTTGGAGGGCAGCTTCGTGCCCACCTCGTCCAGCCCGTCCAGGCACTCCACCGAGCTGTTCCTCTCCTTGCTGTTGCCGACGGCGGGCGCGATGAGGGGCGAGGACATGAGCAGCATCTCCTCCTGCTCCTTCACGCTGTAGGGAGGGGTGGGCACCTCGAAGGTGGCGTGGAACTGCGAGTAATCCACCTTGAAGAAGCCCTCCTCCAGGGAGATGACGGGGAAGAAGCGGTGGCCCCACAGCACCTCGTCCTCCGTGTAGGACGTCCTGGCTTGGCACGTCATCCCTGCAGGGAGCGAGGGAGAGACACTGGCACCAGTCACGGGTAACCGTGGCTGCACAGAGCCACTGGGGTTTCTAACAATCCATTTGAAATGTGTAAAAGGAAAGGCACGGGACTGCCTTACCACTTGATGGAGTAAACAGCCCCAGGTAGTGCCAGGGGAGGTTTAGGTTGGACTCAAGGGAAAATCCCTTCATGGAAATGGCTGTCCAGCCCAGGGCAGCGGTGGAGGCCTCACCCCTGGAGGGATTGAAAAGCCGTGTGGATGTGGCATTTGGGGACATGGGTCAGTGGTCACCATAGGGGTGGTGCTGGGTTGACAACTGGACCTGATGATCTCAAAGGCCTTTTCCAACCTTAACAACTCCATGATTCTATCATACAGTGGCTATTAAATTGTCATCCTCAAGGTGAAAGGGAGTGACCAACAGGAAGCAGTGGAACTGAACAATTCCCATCTACTATTCCAGACCCTCTGACTTCTGAAGGTGCTGCTGACAAAGAGACAGGACCACCTGATAACCCTGGTAATTAACCCAGCAAGAGCTGCTAATGGCAGTGGAAAACTGGACATGACAGATCTTAAAGTCTTACTGAGTTATTGCATATTTTCATCATATCAATGAACACACACAAAGCCAGACCCCACATGCACAAGCCAAGCACGTTGTGTCAGCACATTCCAACCCATCAGCGAACAATAAGCCCTATAAAATACATTTATTCCTCTTTAAAGGCATCACCAGCAACCTGCTCACAGATCCACCGCTGCCAGGATGAGATTCAGGCTCCAAAAAATTAGCAGGGGAAAAAACCCCACAAGACTAAGAGCACAACACTGCCCTTCCTCTTCCTCCCCCACCTCCCAGCGTGGAGAAAAGTCCTTTAGAACAGCCAGACTTGGCCACCCCAGTGACCCACCCAACCTTGGAAATCAGGGGGAGATGATCATGGCTGGCTGGAGGCTTCTAGAAGAAATCCTGCTGCTTCTTTTTTTGACTATTATTTTTTTTTTGGGTAGCCATCTGTAAATAGAATTACGCCGCCACTTTTATACGGCGAAGTGGAAATGTGACATTTGGGTTTCAGGAAGCTATATCCACCTCTGCAAACACATCCTCTGCCTTGCTCACAGGGATGCCTGCAAGCCAGGGGGAAAGGAAAGGAAACTTTGGAGAACATGAGAAAAACAGCAGTGGGGCTGCAGAGAGGGGGAGAGGGGATGGGCTGGGCCTGGTGACACGCAGCCAGGAAAATTCCAGTTTGTTACACTTTATCTGACTGGTAATGCAATCAGAGTGCCAGTTTTGCATCGTGATTTCTGCTGCTGATCCATCAGAACAGATCACGAGACAAAATGCTCAGTGTTCCACTTTATCTCTTAGGGGGAGAATATGAATGCGAGTTTCTTTACCCCTGGATGCTGCCCCAGCACCAGGGAGGAGTGTGCCCAGAGCCCCAGACACCCCACAGCCTCAGCCAGGACAGCATTTACACTTCCCAGTGTATTTATTTCCACCCAGCCACCACGTGCTCCTGCTCCCTCAGTGAAGTGGAAGCAATCCCTTACCTAATGGATTTAGGGGAAAACCTGCAATTTGGAGAAAAAAAGGTAATTTGAGCGAGTTGTTCCCCCAGCTGTGCCCTTCCCTGCCCAGCTGCTCAGCAGCAGCTTCCCCAGCCAAGCCAGACCTGCCCCCTGTGCTGCCTCAGCCCTGGCTCTGCACAGGAGCCTCTCCAGGGACTGGATGTGTCCAAGGGGATTGGGATTGGGAATGGGCTGTGTGGAGGACATGGCTGGTTAACTGTGCTGGCCCCTGCCCCGGGGAACAAACTGCTTACAGTGCAAATCCCTCTGGCTGGAAAAGGCACTTACTTGTGCCCTGGCTGGTTTTGCTGAGGGTGGGGAGGCACCAGGGCCCTTCCCGCTGCATCCTGGGCTCCTGCAGGGCTGGGGATCCCCCCCCGGCTCTTTGGGTGTTGGAGAACACAAAATAAAGAACTTAATAAAGAGGATTAGTGGGAAGGTGTGTCAGCAGAGTGCCTTTGGGGGTGTAACAGGGGGCGTGGGGGTGAGCGATGTCACCAGGGCTGGAAGGGGAAGTGAGAACAGGACAGGTCAGCATCTGCATCCACAGCCACATCTGTATCCACAGCTGCATCCCTGTCCCCTTCTCCATCTGCATGTGCACCCCCATCCTCATGGCATCTGCATCCCCACACCCTTCTGCACCCGCATCATCATCCATGTCCACATGCCCATCCACATCTATATCCGTACCCACATCCCCATCTGCACCCACGTCCCTGTCAGCACCGGCATTCCCACCCCCATCCACACCTGCATCCCCATCCCCATCCCAGGCAATGCCATGGCCAGGGGAAGGCCTCTCCCCTCCCCACCAGCTGCTGTTCCTCAGGGCTATTCCCACCTCCCGCTCCACCATCCTGCCCCCTCCCAGCAGCATTCCAGAGGAGGAATTCTATACCTGCTAATACCCACAAAAAATGTATCAGCTGGATCTCAGGAAAAGCAGCTTCACACTCTGTTCCACTCCTCTGGAAGCTCACTGGAGGGATAAATACCGCAGGAATAGCATTTGTCCTTCAAATCCGTTTATGTCATTCCCTAACAAACCCGAGGGCACGGATTATTTCAGAGCCTCTCAGGATGAACAGCAGCAACTCATATTCCTGGGCTTCTCAGGAATACCTGTCAGGGAACTGAGAGGTGCTGACACGATCAGCCCCTGGAAGGGAAATCAATTCCCAGGTTTTCTTCCAGTTCTGCTGTGCTTTCCAGCTTTTCCTTCACATTCCATTCCCTCAGCAAAGCCTCAGTCCCCAGCTCTGAGCTCACAGTGCTGTTCTGCTATTCCATGCCTGGAGCAGCAGCTCCAGCTGCCTGGAACCATCCCCTGGGGAGCATTCCAGCAACAACAGAATCCAAGGATGGTTTGGGGTGGAAGGGACATTAATGATTGTCTCAACCCACCCCTGCCATGGGCAGGGACACCTTCCACCGGCCCAGGTTGCTCCAAGCCCTGTCCAACCTGGCCTTGGACACTTCCAGGGATCCAGGGGCAGCCACAGCTTCTCTGCCCAACCTCTACCAGCCCCTGCCCACCCTCCCAGCCAGCAATTCCTTCCCAATCTCCCATCTGTCCCTGCCCTCTGGCAGTGGGAAGCCATTCCCTGTGTCCTGTCCCTCCATCCCTTGTCCCCAGTCCCTCTCCAGCTCTCCTGGAGACCCTTTAAGCCCTGGCCCTCCTGGCTGCCAGTTTTCCTTTCCTGTTGTTGCTGTGAAAGGCTTTCCTGGGGGTTTTTATGGTCTTTTCCCCTCAGTTCTGCCCCAGCAGCACCCACAGCACCCACACCCTGCGCTGCCTCCATCCTGTTCATGGGCCTGTTCCCATCTTACCAAGTTCCCTGGATTATTAATATTCATCTGCAGAATGTTCAGCCCTGGCTGGAAGCAAACAGGCTGCAAGCAGAGGAATTATTTATTACAGCATTAACCAGCCATCGGTTTGTCAAGGGAAAAGGGTTTGGTGCATTCTGTCCCTCACTCCAAACAAACACCCCCATCCCAGAGCTGTCACCAACATCAGCAAAGCTCTGCCTGCACACAAACCACAGCAGCACACCTGAGAGAGCCAGGAGAATGCCTGTACTCCAAAAAAAACCCCAATAAACATCCAATAAACCCCCTCTTCATCACATCAAAACCAGAGAATGCTGGGTTTGCATCTCTGGGACATCCAGAGAAGCTGTGGCTGCCCCTGGATCCCTGTAAGTGTCCCAGGCCAGGATGGACAGGGCTTGGAGCAACCTGGGCTGGTGGAAGGTGTCCCTGCCCACAGTAGGGGGTGGGATGGGATGATCCTTAACTTCCCTCCCAATCCAAAGCATTCCATGATTCTACAGCTCACTGTCAGCCCAGCTCAGAGCTGCCTCCCCGGATTAATAAGGGGCAGATGGAGGCCAAAAAAATCTGTAAATAAATGCTTTGACTAATTCTACCCTATAATAACCCTCCAATTATTCCCAAATTTCCAAGTACCCAGATGGAACTGGCTCTTTTCAGGCAATTTCTAGAGCCCATAATAAATTGCCTTGAAAAAAAAAAAAAATCCCAGCCGTGCTGTTATTTATTCCATTTTATTCCAGAAGCTGGCTGATGGTTGGGAAATCACAGATCACTAATGAGCTTTATCAGCCCCCCCACAGCCTGTGAGACTCTTCAGAACCAATTCTGGCACACAAAGGTTCTGTGGCTCCTTTCCCTCTCCGAAGTTAACGCCAGAAATTTCCCCTGCAATCTTTCTGGGCGCCTGGAATGCAGTTTGCTGGCCAAGGGCTGGGCACAGGGACACCAGGGGTCCTCTGAACATGGAAAACTTAATTGGGGGGAGGAAGAGATAATTTATTTGGCTTTATGATGATCCACCAGCACGTGGTCCCAATGGTCCCAGAAAGGGCATCTTGGAAGGAACTGGAATCTCTCCAGCATTCCTGGCCAAAATGCACATATACAGGATTATTTTTGGTCAGACTTTCTCCTTTTTCCCTTTGAAGAGTTACTGCCCTGCAGGTGAAAAACCCTGGAGCTGAGCCGGGTCCAAGGGGCTGCTCCTCGTGCATTTTGGGGGGTTGAGCTCCCTTAAACCTGCAGTTGAACTGTGAACCCCCCTGTTAAAAGCTAATCAGACAGCAATGCTTAATGAAGTGCTACCAATTAAGCTGATTTACCACCGCAATTTCGGGCCCACGAAGGGGAGAGTAAAGCTGGATGTGAGACTCGATATAAAAACACACCACGTTCATCCCCTGCCCTTGTGGGACTCAGGGAGGGTTCACTGCTGCAGGAAAAAGGAGCTGCACCATTTCCATGGCAATCTCTCCACATCCAGAGGAAACCACAGAGTCCTGGAATGGCTTGGGTTGGAAGGGAAAATAAGGATCATCTCATTCCCTCCCCCTGCCACGGGCAGGGGCACCTT